CAATGTTGGACTTAGTCCCTGTCCGCCGTACAGAGGTAGTTCTTTCTTTTGCTTGTCTTAAGACTTTTGTTCATTTTCTCAATCTGTGACTACGCCTGATCTAATTATAAGTGGTTTACAGCATTGGGTACCTCTTATAGTTGGATGTCGGAATAAGGGTATCACTACTGCGTCATATTGAAAAGATGACTACTGCCTGGTGTTGAAAGGTGGCCTATATGGTATAGGCTACAGTGTTTGGTGTGACTGCTTAGTGGATGTAGTATATTAGGATCTCTTCTCGTTTTGCATTTGGAAAATCAAGCTTCTTCTCTCCTACTCCGGGAACCCATACACTCACAGGTTATGAGCCCTTAAGCTTCCTGATTTTGTTATCAACGCTCTGCCTATTATACTATGTCTTCATTTCTTTTCTCAAGGCTACTTGATATTTCTATCTCCTTGCCTTTACTATTCTATTCTATTCTATTCTATTGAGTCATGTCGTTGACTCCAGCTACAACAGGTAGTACTACTGAGGGCACCCGGGCCCTCAAGTGTCCCCTTCTTACAACCCACAACTGGACTTTGTGGAAGCATCATATGGCCAACCACCTCTGTGCGTAGCAGCTCTGGGATGTTGTTGACCCTACTGGCTCCGGACGAGAAGCTGCTGCAGAGGCAGCAAAGGAGACTCGGGCAGCCATGAAGGCCACTGCTATTGCATCTACAGATGACTTACTTAGAGCTGTAAAGGCCTTAGACCTTATCGAATCACACATTAGCGAAGAACTTCTATCTATGCTCTTGTCTATAAATAGTCCTAGAGAGGTTTGGGTTTTTCTTACTCAACAGTTTGAAGCCAACTCTATTGCTCATCAGAGCGCTATCCAGCTGCAGTTTCAGAGTCTGCGTCTGCACTCTGGGCAAACGATTGATAGCTATATTGCCGAAGGTAACAATCTCTTCTTTCGGCTGACCTCTGTTGGAATCAATCTTTCCCGCTTACAGCTCATTAATCAGATTTTGAATGGTCTCCCGAAATCTTATAATCAACTCGTGGCCACTATTCATACATCCCTCACCCTCACTCAGCAAGTTAGTCTCACGCTGGCCCACCACACACTTGCAGCTGAGGAATTGCGACAGGCCACCGAACGACCCAACAATCCTCATAATGCTTATACAGCACTCTATATGAGCAGTACTAAAGGCCAGAGTTCGACTTCCGGAAAAGTCCCATATCGTAATCAGTCAGCCTCTGGACATTCAGGCAATCGGCAGCAAGTCCAGCATTACCACCCTCAGTCTGATCGTCCACTATGTAAGCACTATCACTGCTCGAATCATTCATCAGAGAAGTGTTGGCAATAGTATCCTGAGAAAAGACCACAGCGTTGCCCATTCTCCAGTTTGGGAAGGGTGGAACCTCCAACTCTACCAGTTCAGCACTCCACTCGTATCTCAGCCCATGATGATTCTGAGTGCGCTCTGTCTTCGCTGGACCTTGATGTTCCCACTACTGGTGACTTCACACCGCTATGGTATCTTGACTCTGCGTGTACGAACTATATTACTCGTTTTAGCGACTTACTCCATGACTATCATTTACTTACTACGCCACAATGTATTCGAGTTCGAAACGGAGAAGCTGTAGATGCAATTGGTATCGGAACAGCAGTACTTCCTGTTGTTACCCCATCCGAGAGTCATACTGTTACATTGAGTGGTGTTTACCATGCTCCAGCTTTCGGGGATATCAGTCTGATCTCATTGGGGCAGTTGCAAGAGCGTGGTGCTAGCTACTATTCGTCACCAGGTAGTGTGACAGTGGTGAAAGGAAATCGCATCATATTATATGACTATTCTATTGGGCGACTTTATCAACTCAGACTTCGGTCCACTGCTCTTGTTACTACACGCTCCGTTTCCAGAGTAGTATCACAGAATACAGCCCGCTCTGATGTCCCTTTACCGGACTCACAGGTTATAGATGAAAACACTCCTCCGCCAACTCAAGTAGCTCAAGCACCTTCAACTACACTACGTACAGCTATGGAAACTCTAAATACATGGCATCGACGTCTTGGTCACCTCAGTTCCATCTCGATTCACTTGCTCTCAAAGAACTCTTTAGGTATGAAAATTGCTTCTGGCACAGTGGTAGATAAGCCATGTCTGCCTTGTCTCAAAGGAAAACAACACCGGCAGCCCTCACAAGTACCAATGCCTCGTGCAGAAAAGATTCTTGAGCGAATTCATACCGATATTTGGCGTCCAGCTCCAATTCCCTCTATTAGTGGAATGAAGTATTTTGCTACATGGATAGATGATGCTTCACGTTTTGTTATTGTGTTAATCTCTCATACTAAGAGAGAGGCATTCGAGGCATTTAAGACTTTACACCCCCAACTCGAGAGACTGAAGGACTCGAAGATTAAGTTCTTAAGATCGGATAATGCGTTGGAATATAGAGCCTCACTGGATAGCTGTCTTGACCGTACCACGCCCTCCTCTGCCTTTGCCGACTATCTAAACACGTCTGGAATAATCCATGAGTATACAGTTCCATATACTCTGGAACAAAATAGTGTTGCTGAGCGAATGAATCGTACTCTGCTAGAAATGGTTAACTCAATGCTTCATGAGATTGAAGTACCCTCTGAGCTTTGGGCTGAGGCCCTTCAGACAGCTGTTTATCTTCGTAATCGAGCTCCTACTTCTGCACATCCCACTGGCAAGACACCCTTTGAAATTTGGAATGGTCGACCTCTATATATCGGCCATCTTAAAGTATTCGGCTCCATATCTCATGTCCTTATACCTAAGGTGCTCCGAAATAAACTTGAGTCCCACTCACACTCTGGCTTGCTTGTTGGTTATGAAAGTGCGAACATTTACCGTATCTACATTCCAGATACAAAACGCATCATACGTGCTCGAGATGTGCACTTTGATGAAGCCGCTACTCCGTCATTTGAAGAGATTGTGGACGTTGATCAGCCTCCTCTCTTTGCGGCAACAACAACTGTTTCCTCCAGAACTACAGATAGTTCTTTCCCTTGCTTGTCTTCGATACCACACTCTTGCTATATCTCCTCTATTGAGACAGTATCTTACAGAGATGCTCTTCGTGGTCCAGATCATGCCTTGTGGGAGGCTGTGATCACTGAAGAACTAGCCACAATGCAGAAGAACTCTGTCTGGATAGTTGAAAGTCTACCAGCCGGCCGCAAGGCGCTTCCTACCTGTTGGGTGCTTAGATATAAGTTTGACTCCTCCGGTACTATCACACGGTATAAAGCAAGATTGGTAGCTCGTGGAGATAGGCAAGTGGCTGGTATCGACTATAACGAGACTTATGTTCTGGTGGTTAAGTGGACTACTATTCATACCATCCTGGCATTCGCTGCTGCACAGGATCTGGTTATTCACCAGTTAGACGTTGTTACTGCCTTTCTGGGTGCACCGCTTGATGAGGTTATATACCTACGGCTTCCAAGTGGTACTATTGTACGACTTCTTCGCTCCATATATGGGTTGAAGCAATCTCCGCGCCAGTGGTTTGGAACCTTCCACAGTTTTCTTCTTAGTGTCAACCTCAAGCAGTCTACGGTCGATCATGGTCTCTACCTTATACCAGCCAGAGGCTATTTACTACTCTATATAGATGACATTGTTCTTTGTAGCACCTCAGATGAGGTGACAAATCTGCTTTCACTCTTTAAGCAGCGATTCGAGATTAAAGACCTGGGTGACATTGAGTACCTTCTGGGTATTAAGATTACAAGGAATAGGCAGCATCGGTCAATTTCGCAATCGCAGGAACTTTATTTAACCAAGGTTTTGGAAAGGTTCAACCTTTCTGATACCAGTGTCCATGACCAAACAACTCCGATAGATGTTAGTTTTGACAGCTCACCTGGTATTATGGATGGTGAACCTGCGGATCCAATGCTTTACTGTTCGGCTATTGGCTCTGTTATGTATACGATACTTGCGACTCGACCAGATATACCCTACTCAATTTCCATACTTGCACAATTTAGTCAATCGCCTATACAGCATCATTGGCGTGCACTAAAACGCCTCCTCCGTTATCTTCGAACGACCAAGGGTTTTAAACTTACCTATTATACCCCCACCTCTGATGGGTCTACTCCTCCTACTGCGAGCGTTTATAGTAATGCTAGCTATGCTCGAGAATACCACTGCCATAGTGTTCAGGGGTACCTAGCACTAGTATCTGGTGCCCCAGTCTCCTGGCATGCAAGTAAGCAGTCATTGATAGCGACTTCGACAAATGAGGCCGAATTTATTGCACTATCTACTGCTGGGAAGGAAGCCCTTTGGCTCCGCTCACTACTGCACCAACTCCATCCTCTACACTTGGCACGAGCAAGTGACGCAGCTCCTACTATCACTCTATTTACTGACAATGCCAGGGCCAAAAGGCTTATCGAAACTGGTGCAATCACACAACGGACTAAGCATATCGATGTCCGCTACTGTTGGCTCCATGAGTATGTTTGCAATGGCCAAATTACTCTTACCTTCATTGGTACGAATGATATGCTAGCAGATATCTGCACGAAGCCTCTTGCTGTTCAAAGACACAGCTTTTTGCTTTCCTGTATTGGTCTTTCTACTTAGATACTTATTTTTTTTTTTTTTGTTATTTTTTTTTTTTTTTTTGCTTTACAAGACTTGTATACTGCTACACTCTTTCCATCAAAGGGGGTGTTGGACTTAGTCCCTGTCCGCCGTACAGAGGTAGTTCTTTCTTTTGCTTGTCTTAAGACTTTTGTTCGTTTTCTCAATCTGTGACTACGCCTGATCTAATTATAAGTGGTTTACTGCATTGGGCACCTCTTATAGTTAGATGTCGGAATAAGGGTATCACTACTGCATCATATTGAAAAGGTGGCTACTGCCTGGTGTTGAAAGGTGGCCTATATGGTATAGGCCACAGTGTTTGGTGTGACTGCTTAGTGGATGTAGTATATTAGGATCTCTTCTCGTTTTGCATTTGGAAAATCAAGCTTCTTCTCTCCTACTCCGGGAACACACACACTCACAGACAATGAATCGCCTGAACTGAGCTGAGCTCAACTTCTAGACTATGTGTAGTTTGATAAGAAGCGCTCCGCAACGGGAGATGGTAATCACACGGCAGTACGAACATCTTCAAAATGGTAGGAATACAAGAGTGGAAAAAATGGAAAGTGTCATACGGGAAAAAAAACCAAGAGCCAAACTCCGCTAAACACACTGATACAGTTTATACATACGTAGCGATATCAATAAGGCGAAGGCGGTCGGTTTAGAGCTACAAGTCTAATGAGTTAGAAAGAGTATATGGATGCGCAGAAGTGATTTGTCTAAAGCAGCCGGTCCTGCTCACTACCTCCCAAATGTGAGGTGGATGGCCCAGGAAACCGAGGACTCAACGCCGATTCGCCAACCTGTATTTCCGTGTTTCCGGGGACACCGTCGTCTATGCTTGCACTTTTCGCCTGCTCTTCTAGCCCTTCATCTTCGTCTTCTTCGTCGTCGCCTCCGACTGGGACGTATGCTGCTGCACTGACGGTCTCTTCTCGTGCCTCTCGACGCATCCTCTTGATCTTGATGTAATTGTATGCTGCGATACTTAATATTGTGACGCAGAGACCTGAAATGTTGATTGGGGTTAGAGGATCGCCGAAGACTATCGCTGCTGCGGAGATCGTAACGACTTCTTTGAAAATGCCGCAAATTGAGAGGGTTACTACGGAGGTGCGCTGGAGGAGTCTGTGGATCGTTAGAGAGCTGCGATCGTGGATGGATATATCATAACTTACGCAAATTCACTGCTGACCATCAGGAAAGCGATGGCACCGGGGAAGAGCAGAATGGCAGCAGTGTTGACGGCACCCTTTTGAGCTGCTAATTCGCCCAATCTCTCACTCAGCGGTCCGAACCCCTCCACTGGTATAGCAATTGCTAGGATTGAAATGAACATGATCGGCGCTAGGAAAAATATAGATGAGAATGGGTTAGAGGTGGCCGGGTTTCTCAATAGCAGAATCTGTGTGAGTGACCATCGCAGTCCAGACAGAGCGGAGGACATGATCACAAGAACGAAGCCAATCGGCACGAATGTTGCCTCTCCAGCTACCATCATCACTACACCAATCGTCATCACCGTTATGACTCCAACTAATTTCCATGTTATCTTCTCGAGACGAAATATAAAGGCGAATATCAAGACGAATGCTAAGGCAGAAGATTTACACATAGCTTTATCAAAGTCAGCGCATCCCCTGACCCGTTATCCCAGTGAGAACCCAACATACTGTAAAACGCAAGGCTAATGAATTTCAAACTCATGTTCCCAAGGCCAATATCCAATCCAGTAGCCGCACCACATGGGCCAACTCGGGTTGTGTAAAACCATTTCGTCATGATGCCGGCTTGTTGTTTCTTCCGCTCCTCCACAGAATCCCCAGCTCCCATAAAGTGATCCATCCCAGGATCTTCAGGTTGTGGATCAGTAGAAGCAACTCTCCCGAAAAATCCTACAGGCCGTAGTTTAGGGAATGCGAAGAGCACTAGAGATGCTAGAGAGAATTGGACAATCATGTGTGTGCAGGTAGTGAATAACGGAAATTTGAAATCGAGGTGCTTGGGGTCGAACATCCATTTATTGTACTTCACACACATAAGATTTAGACACTTGCCTGACCATAGGAGAGTGTATGTAGAGAGGCAATCTTACAATGGATATTAGGAGCGAGAATAGATACCTAAAAACGGGTGGACGACACGTTAGCAACCCGATAGCTGCACTTCAATCCAGAGATTTCCAGCCTACCATAGCCCAATCAGCAAGACGTTAATGGCCAAACTCCTAATAACTTTCACATCTGCGATCCTTTTCTCTTCCTTACTCACAACAGGCCGATCACCGTCTGCCATAACCAACCGATCACCAAGAGTAGGACCATCCTCGCCGTGTAAACTCAAGCCCCTTCGGTTCCTCGTCTTCACTCTCCCTTCTTCATCATTCCGCCATGTAACCTCCCCTGTGTTCACATAGTCACCCATTTCAAGATCCTCGGACTCGGAATCAATCTCCAGACCCGGACCTGCCTCGTTTTCTGCTTCTGAGGATGAGAACCCTTCTATATCGTTGGATAACCTAGTTTTTGAGTTTTGTTGCCTTCTAAGCCCTTCTGCTGCTCTTCTCGCACTCTGTTGTTGGTATTCGAGGGTTCCGTCGTCCACAATAGCTGGTGAGGCCATGGGTGACGGAGTAGGGGGGCACACTTTGTTACCAAATGAGGGCTTCTGTTTGAGGTAGGGAACTTCTGAGTCGTCTGATAGGTCGGAGGAGAGTGGATAAGGTATGGTTGGGGCCGGAAATGCCATGTTTGGTGCGCGAAGCGGACCTTGGCTGCTTACCAGCTACCAGTTATTTATGATACTCGAGTGGTCTTGTGAGGGAGGAGCGGACTTTGCCCTGCTTTGGGGAGAGACGCGAGACCTCAGGAAGATCAGTCTCATTCCATGCGCTTGACACTAAAGTTAAAAGGGTCAAGTAGTGAAGGGAGGCATCGTGGCTAATGGGGGTCCGGTGAGCCACTCGCCAGTTCAGGTCGGTAGTTACCGATTGCAATGCTGCCAGCATGAGCCGCGTGGCGGTGCTGTTGTTTTGCTGAACAAAAAAAAAACAACTGCTACTACCGATATATGATACCGGTGTTGTGGTGTTGTTACGCGCCATATCTCTGTTTACCCCTCCACACTCCCTTCCCCAACAACCACATTTCTGTATCTGCTCCTCGTTCAACCTATCAATCGTGCTCATCATGGCTGACGATGATACTACCTCCTTCGACCAGATCGAGCTTCACAAAGAAAACATTCAGCCCCTTGCTTCCGGACGCTCAGCTCGAGCCCTTGTCGCTTCTCTCTCGTCCCGTTCGAACCCAGTATTTGCCCGTGCCGAGCATGCAGTTAAACAAGCAGAGTTTGAGGAGGAGTTACGAGGATCTTTAGACTTGGATGACCCTTTAGAAGTCTGGGTTCGTTATGTCAACTGGACACAAGAGACCTTTCCGTCTGGTCATTCGACAGACTCTGGTTTACTACAGCTGCTGGAAAGGGCAACACAGACATTCATCCACGAATTACACTACAAGAATGATCCAAGATACCTACGCCTATGGATTCAGTATATCCAAAACTTTTCCGATGCTCCCCGGGAGGCCTTTGCCTACCTTGCTAGACACGACATCGGTCAGCGGCTCGCCTTGTTCTACGAAGAGTACGCTGCTTTGCTTGAAAAAATGGGTAGAAAGAGACAGGCTGGCGAGATTTACCAGACTGGGATGGAAAACAATGCTAGACCTACGGACAGACTTCTGAGGAAGTTCGAGGAGTATATGCAGAGGTTGGAGCATGACCCCCCTGCAGACGATGAGCCCAACTCCCCTGCGCTGCCAGCAGTTAGACCAGCTTTAGCTGCAAAACCTTTTGGTGGGGGGTTAGGTTCCGGAGTACTTGGTGGCTCTCCTGCTACGCAGCAGCAACCGCAAGCGTCACAACCAAAACCGAAACAAGCGAAGCAGAAGATGGCCATTTTCTCCGATGCGGACGCAGCCACCACAAGTAAGGCAGCAGACACCATCGAAAAACCAACTAGTGGTTGGGAGAGCATTGGTACTCTAGCGCAGAGGAAGAAGGAGAACACCATAGAGGCTCGGCCATGGGCCGGCGAGGTTTTGAAGCAGGAAGGAGTTAAAACGAAAAGTGCTGAGAAAATGATGATTTTTAGGGACGAAAGTGTAAGTAGCCTCACAAAACCATGAATCGTCATTTTTCATCTAATTATCATTTTCACCTCATGTTTACACAAGTAGAACTAATACCGCCTGTCTATCTGTTCTTTACGATCGATTTCCAGTCTTTACCGAAGCAAAATGTACCTCCTGTACAACAAAATGTTTTACCTACTTATTTACCTTCAAATAAACGGCCAGAGCGGGTTGCTGTAAACCTTGAATTGATTTATGCAGACGAAGAAAATCCTACTGAAGAGCTGTCTTTTGATGAGTTAAGAGCGATCAAGAGAGGCCAGTATGGGATTGACTGGAATAGGATACGTGAGGAACAAGCTGAGGCAACTAGAGAGCGACGAAGGAAGAATACCCATAAAGGAGAGGTAACGGAGGAGTCTCGAGCGCCCATCAAAGTGAAGACAGTTCTCTCGCCTTCTCCAAATAGAGGAAAAATAAAGCGAAAAGGGCAGGCACCTGCTAGTCCCACAATGACATTTCATACCAGAGCAGCAACAGACGAAATATATGATATTTTCAACCAACCTATGAAGAAAACTTCTATGACAGGGGAGAATCGCGGTGATGACGGAAGTGAGAGCGGTGGTGAGGAGAGTGACAGCGAGGACTACACAATTGGAACACAGGTTGGACAGGCAGGTGGATCTGGTCCGGAGGGTGACGATGGCGAGGATGATGAAGAAGACGCCAGAAGTGTGAAGAGTGAATGGTCTGACTTTACCTTGAGAAGGGACGTTCCGCCGAACGAAGAGGAGGAGGAAAAGGAAATAGAAGGGAGTCCAGGGGTTCACTCAGCTGAGGGCAAGCTTGGGAAGCTCGTTATCCATCGAGATGAGCCCAAGGCTGGAGGTAGAATAGCGATCCACAGAGACGAACCTAGTGACGAGGAACCTGGTCAATCACTCCGTCCTACTCACAAGATACTCATCCCATCACCTCCTAATGATTTCGATCCCCCTCGTCTTTCCTATAATGCTGCGAAGGAAACCCAATTCCAAGGGCAGAGTAGACTACCATACATGACACCTATTGTCGAAAAGACGGAGTCATTACCACCTACCACTGCTAGACGAAAGGATGTGGCCAAAACTCCCAGTAGGAATAGGATGCCCGATATAATAGACGACAATTTGATGAGCAGCCCTTTCGAAGAGTCTAACAACTCTATTTTTCCCCCACCACTTGCCCCGTCCCAGCCTGCTCCATCTGCCGCTCCGGCCCGTGTCCCCAAGGAGAGGAAGCCATTTGGTGCAAAACCAGTGGCAGCGGCGAGGGTGAAAGAAGCCACCCAGAAGGGCCCCATAATCCAGGATTTACAATGTAACCCCATGGATGAATCTCTTCGAGCTAACATCTTTGACAAGCTTCAGCCACCATTGAAGACATATGAAGGCTTCTACGAGCACACAACCAAGTTTGGACGAGGAGCGGAGATCAAACGGTTCGCGAAGACCATATCAAAACGTGATGGAGAAAAAACCACAGCCAACATTTCACAGGCTCCAATTGTCGAGTTCGTCACAGGTGATGGAGGCAGTTCCTACACCATTAAGCGTGAGCTGGGGAAAGGTGCTTTTGCCCCTGTCTACCTTGTGGAGAATAACATCGTTGCCGATGCCGAAGACGAAGCCGAAGAAGCAGGCCCGGATGATGGAAACGCGGCCGACCTCTTTTCCCTTAACAAGAAGATAATTGGACGGGCGCGCTTCGAGGCTATAAAAATGGAGCACCCGCCATCGCCTTGGGAGTTCTACATCATGCGGCAAGCTCACCGCCGCCTCGGCGTCTCACGACCGGTGGAGTCCATCCTAAAGGCCCATGAAATGCATCTTTTCCCGGACGAAGGATATCTCCTACTTGAATATCGTGACCAAGGCACAATCCTCGACCTAGTAAACATTGCCAGAGCAGAAGCAGCGGCCGGTACAAATACTGGTGTAATGGACGAGCAGCTTGTCATGTTCCTTTCCATCGAGCTCCTCCGCACTGTCGAAGCGATGCACTCCAAGGGTATCCTCCATGGTGATCTCAAGGCTGACAATTGTCTCATTCGCTTCGAAAATACACCAGACAATATCTGGTCCGCACGATACCAGCGAGACGGTTCAAATGGCTGGCTTAAAAAGGGAATAACCCTAATCGACTTTGGCAGAGGAATAGACATGAAACTCTTCCCGCCAGCTGTACAATTCCTTGCGGATTGGAAAACCGACAACCAAGACTGTGCAGAAATGCGCGAGCTCCGGCCGTGGACCTACCAGGTAGACTATTTTGGCCTCGCTGCCATCATCCACTCCATGCTCTTTGGCAAGTACATTGAGACCGCAGCGGATCGCGGCAACATCCTCGGCGGTGGAACCAAGAAGTACAAAATCATAGGTTCCTTTAAGCGTTACTGGCAGACGGAGATCTGGAACTCTGTGTTTGATGTTCTGCTCAACCCGCTCCAATATATTAAGGACGAGGAGAGCACCTGCATGCCCGTCAGCAAGAGCGTGAGGAAGTGCAGGGAGGAGATGGAGACATGGCTGGAGGCGAATTGCGAGAAGGGGGTCGGGTTGAGGAATCTAATTCGTAGGATGGAGGGGGTCCTTGGGAAGAAGCGTTAGTTTTGTTCTCTCCGTCGTTTATTATTCCTGTTTGGAAATAGATGGCGCTGGTGCCGGCGGGAGGGTATTTTCCACCTGTCCGTCCGTCTGGCTAGTGTTAATGTAATGTTTGTTATTGACATGTTACCCATATATCTCTCTTTTTCGGCGGCACTAGTGTGCCAGTATCATTGCCTTTCCTCCCCGCCCACTCCCCACGCTCCTACAGTCATAATATCCACCGAGGGTATTTTGGCTCGCCTCGTACAGTAACGATCCACTGCATCGCAGCCCCAAAACGAAGGTTCGAGTGGATCCTTTATCCAAAGTATCATACCACACATGATAATACCCGATGTCTGCCATTCCGGCCAGTCCAATCATCCATCCCGCCAGAAGAGCCGTGGCATCACCCCAAAAAATCCTCAATTCCGAATCACGACTCGTGACTTATGCATCTCTGAAAACGAAGCCTCCCTCCGCTCATTACCCCGCCCCCGCCCATCACCCCAAAACCCTGCATATCATACCGCCGCCGCCGCCGGACCGGAGAAAGATAAGGAAGAAAAAGTAAAAAAAATTAAAAAAAACCGGAAACAGCACACTTACATACGAGTAGTTCCCAAAAGTACCCTTCAAGTACAAGTAGCAGCCCTGCCATGAGCACCAATCGTATCGTGCGAGATCCCGGTTTCTCAGAACTTTCTGAAACATCTCGCTACCCCTTGTGGTACGGGTGCGAACCCGAAAAAATAAAAATAAAAAAAGTGAGTGAGTGGACGTAAGCGATTTTATTATACGCCAGAAATGGGATAATTTCGCTCACTCACTTGTTCCCGGCGCCAAATGGTTGAATTAAAAGTGGGATACTGGGTAGTAGGATGACTTCGTAACTCGTGGAGTGTTCGGAAGAGATGAGGACTGGTCCACTTGACTTTTATTCTAACCTCAATAAATTTAAAACCTTCCGAGGTGTAGTCTATCAGAGCAGCAAGAGGGAACAAAACTTTGCTCGAAATTGTGCCCAAGACCTTTGTTTTCGGTGGGCAAACCGTGTTTGGATATTTGTGTAATAGAAAATGATGTCCTTATTGGTTCCACGGATAATTTGTATTTTTGTGAATTTGCTCCAGTGTAATAAATATCTTGGTGTGAAACCTGCTTTTTTTGCAAGTATTCCACTCGCTAATTCGGACCCACTCGTATTATTTCACACACAGCCACTCTGCCTCCATGCCATGTCGTGCCACGCAACCGATTCTGCACACCAATAAAAACGGTACTTTATCGATAGCTAGATTTATTGGATAATGTTAATGTTTTTAATGCCCACACGGCACAATCGGTACTCGTATCACAGTCTTCGTGTGTGCGCGTAGGCCCGCTTTCCATCCACCGTGCACATCGACGGATGAGTGAGCAAATGAATGTTTTGGCTTGATGAAAGAACATCTCCCCTGCTCGCGTCCGATCACCATAATTCAACCGTCGAAAAATGGGAATTAGAAAAGGAAAAGAAAAAGAAAAAAATAAACACCAATTCCAACCAGACAAACCGATCAACCCAGCCCAAACAAAGGAATAACAATGAAAAACGAAAAAAAAGTCCTCAGAAAAGCCCCTTCCTTATATGGTGTATATAGCATCACACCTTCCCCTCAACGTGCGCCTGCGGCATCCCGCTCGGCGGGGCACTATACGGGTTATTGCTGCCCGTAGAATGTGTGAACACCGTTTCCCCAGTTTGATGTCCATTAACGGGAGCATGCGCGGCCGGCTCGGGACTTCCCAGCGGCACTGGTGGCGGTGAGAAATACTGCCTTTGCTGTCCCTGAGGATCTTCCACACCAGCAGCATGATAATTCCCACCAGCATGTCCCGGAGCACCGGGATCGTGGTTCTGCTGGCCGGGGGAGTATGCCGGCGCTGGGTGTGTGGGTGCGTAGTATTGTGCGTAAGGGCCTGGTTGCTGAGGGGGGTAGTGTTGCGGTGGGTAGGTCTGAAACTGGTGGACGTCGTGCGGAGTGTATTTTGGTGGGGCCATCCATGCGGTGCCATAGACTGGTTGCATGCCCGCGCGGCGGCGGCGGCGAGAGGTTATTAGTCTGTAAGATGGGTTAGTGGTGGGAGATGGATAGGAAGGAGGAGGGGGAAAGTACCCGCAACAAGCGACGACGAGGAAGAAGAATACAACGATAACAGTTAAAGCTACCCATCGTCCCCAGTTGTCCCAGCTAGAGTAGCAGTCACCAAAGTCGCATCGGTCACTGTGAAGAAGAAGAAAAAGACACACAGTCAGTCAATCATTAGCCATCTTCATCGTCACGATAGCAATCCAAGGAACCAGGTAAGGGGGGCCAAACTCACTAATAATCTCTCCTAAAAACCCTTGAAAACCCCCTCTCGTTTTTATCCATCACTCCCTCCGATATTTTCAACTTTCGGAGATTTACACGCAAAAAAAAAAAAGCCCCCTTCCTACTTCGTTCGCTCGCGAGTGCACTCTCCGTATCCAAATGGTTCTCTCGCAGCAGCAATGGCGGCGTAGGCGTGGTGAGCAGTGACAGGTGGTGAGTGGTGTGCCTCCCTCACAGAAAAAAGAATGGTATGATAATAGCAGAATGCCGGTGGCCCAGTTTGCCGAAAGGGAGAGAAAAAATGTGCGAGCACCTTTTCTTTTGAAACCCCCCCCTCCCCTCACTAAAATGCCAACACCAATGACGCGTAATATCCGTCAGTCTTGGTTGGATGGGAAAAGCTGTGGGGATCTCTCTGCCCCAAAGTTACCGTAGACTACTGTTAGCTACAAGTACGGTATCATGGGTACGGGGGTTTATGTATGGTATTTGCTACATATAACACGGGTAAAGCTGAGACCAGAGACGGGTACTTTGAGGGACAAAGGTTTGTTCCATGATGGTTTGGTGCGTGCTGCTGGGAAGTGCGGGGGACTTCCCGAGATGCGCGAGTTTGTGCTTTTCTTTTTCTCGTGTGGCTGTTCATGGGCAAAAAGAGAACAAGTGATACGCTGGTTTCGGGCTCGTCGGATGCCGGACCCTATGTTTTACAAGTGCTGTAGTGCCGCACTTGTAGATTCTCCTGACTTGTGTGCCTTTGCACCGCACCCGAGTAGAAATATGTACTTGTAAGAGGGCCCTGCAAATGTAATCCTATGCTATGTATGATATTAAATCATACCAACTAGTATGATTATCGTGCTGTACTCGAGTACGGGCACAGCGTCCACCGCAGTTCTCTTTGCCCCCTTCAGGCTTCAGCATCTGGTCTCCACCCCACCACCACCGCTACTGCGCCCAGACCCAGCAAACTCTAACCCTTCCAAGCCAACTCACCTCGCCCAAGACCCTGCCCCCAGCGTGCAGCCTTCCGCCGAAAGCAGCCAAAATTCCGTACCTACGAGTACTCGTACAGTACTTTACTTAGTACGATACCATACTCAGACAGTATCCGCCTGCCTTGATAAGCCTACGTAGATGTCTCTGTACCGGTATCACACAGCACCACCACTCACTCATCATCCCTCATCTCACCATCGACACCCTATTACAATCCCACAAGAACAAATCGGCCTTGTCACCGCAGCCCTTTTTTTCCCTACTGCCTCCCTCTCTCTGTCATCATCAAAACTTCCCCAAATATTAATAGCACACCCCTAGTCGCACTCGTACAACCGCAGCACAAAGATCTCAGTTCGAAAGAGAGAGTGACCTCCGAAACACCCGAACAAAAAAACTGACCTATGTCATGTCACAACCAAAAAAAAAAAAAAAGAGCAAAATTGCCCTTACTGTAATAGGGGCGGAAAAATAGGAGCAACAAATCTACTCGAGTACGAGGTAGGGAAGATTCTCTTGGCTCCTTCCCTCGGGTGGCGACGGGGGACGGAAGTGCAAGAGGCTTCCGTGTGGGGGGGTTGAGTAACTTGAATGAGAGGTGGCGGGTATACCGCATGTACTCGAGTACCGTACCACAGATGATCTCGGGTGTGACCAACAACGTCCAGGCTTAGTCATGGTCAGAATCCGCCTGCTGTGAGCGGCCTACTCCACATAATATTATGGTCTAAAAGCCCCTCACGAGTCGTGTTCGCAATGTGTGAGATTACAATATGTTGCTTGCATCGACACAACCGGTTGATGACATTGTGCAAGGGTCTAGGATAGAATACCGGTACAAGTAATGGTACAAGTACCAGTACGAGTACAAGTACGGTACCGGTACGGGTACTGTACGAGTACTATACTCACACTGCAAGAGTTAGGCTGGACCGTGTGCTATGAAGTCCAAAATTCCCTTCTCTGGGGAAGAGGGGGCGGGGGACACAGCAGAAACACAGCCCCTTCCCACCTTCCGAGGGGGAGGAGAGAGACCTTGTTACTTACCGAGGGAGGAAAGCCCAACGAGTCCTTACGGGTAGGGGCGCATGGCCGATATTTCAGTAGGAGTGATTATCAAATCCCTCCGTTGCTGTGAAATCACGAGATATGAGGAATACTTGGCGCTAGGGACTTGAATGAGGTCTCGACTTGATACCCCGGTAGCCTACCGGTATTCAATTAAGGAAGGATGCTCCCAGATCTTATTCCTGTACGAGTAAGACAATATATTTTGGGCGCAGTTCATGACAGACATGGATACCGGTGCGTATGGTACCCGGAAAACGCTACCCGACAGGAAACCCCCGGCTGCTCTTACCTCGGTCAGACATAAAGGAATGAATGAGGTAACTAGTGCTTATACTCTACTCGAGTACTCGAGTACCGTAGTCTACCTAGCCCCCGGTTCCATAAATCCCTTTTTTTTATAAAAAAAAAAAAAAAAAAAAAAAAAAAGCTCTTTCCAGGCTCCCGTTGAGCAATGGATGGTTTGTGTTTCCGAACGAGCTGGTTGTGGTACGCCATTATTCGACCAAAATCTGCATCAACATTAACAATCCTGCTCCCTCCTAAATTTGTGTCTGACCCCTGTACAAATATTTATTTTCCTCTTCCCACTCCTCATGGTCGTGGTGGTGTTCGTGTTTATTAGAGGGACTAACCCGTACTATGCTCATATCTTCATTACAGCAAAAAACAACTGCGTGAGGAACAAACAAGCGGCAGAGCAAGGAGAATAGAAGAGTAGGAGCCTGATCGGAGGAGAAAACGACAGAAAAAAGCAAGAAGGGGAAAGGGCAATAAAACTAGAAACTAAAAAAAGAAAAGCTCTACGCCAACACTTCAACGCAGTCACTGTAACTTATGCACAAACATCCCCCTCCCGCCAGTAAACCTCCCAATGCCAACATCGACAGTCGCTATACAACGCCATTAGGAGGAGAAGAGGGAGGACCTGGTAAGGGAATCTTCAGTTCCTCCTCGGCAAGTATCTTCCCCTCGTGCTTCCCCCGATCAACGTTCACGGCTGCGATCAACGGGATAGGTAGCGCGAGCAAGACCGCCAGGAACCAGAATGCCACACGGATGTCCCCGTAGTGATCTGTTAGGGCCCCAACAATTGTCGGACCGAAGATGCTGGAGCCTTTGTCGGTTACCGCATAGAGGGCATAGAAGGCCGCTTCGAAGCCGGGGGGTACTAGCTGCTGCGTTAGACATGGGTGGAAGAGGTGGGGAAATGGAGAGGGGAGGGGGGAATTACTTAATTCTCCGAAAACACTGCGGCAATAACCGCTTACCCCCCCTAGCACAAATCCGTAGACTGCACCTAGGGCATACATTTCCGCAGGGCTGGTTAGCCCGCCGACGCCAGAGCGCTGGACAGCGGGAATGAAGCCGAGTAAGCCGTACAACGGGATGAACTCGAAGACCAATATGCATATTAGGATTGTCTGACCGGGGGTTCTGTTGAACGTTTGGGCTATCTTTGGCCAGGCAAAGGCTCCACCTACTCCTGATATCGTCGATATAACAGATATAAGAGCTAGGGCAGCTGGTTTCATTTTGAGATTCTATCATGTGACCCGTTAGTATCACGTGTATCACGCGGTAGAGGAGTAATCCTTCATACAGTCTTCGCAAATAACACGGCTGTGCCGCTGACAGTGGCTACTCCGTCGCTCACAAGGAACCAGGCCGCAAGGAATAGCATGACGTCCTTGAGTCTTTTGGCCCTCATGATGGTCTTTCCCAGCCCTACCCAGGCGTACTTGACATATCCCCACCAGCTTCTATCATCTATAACCAATAACGTAGCGCCGGGGGGAGACCCGTTCAGTGGCGGTCGAGGAAGTGGCGGAAGAGGTGGACCAGGTCTCGGCCTCAGCCACACTGCTGTAGGAATGGTAAATAGTAACCACCAGGCTCCGATAGAGAACAGAACAAGCTGCAAAGACCAAGTGGTGGATCCAGTCAACAGTACAATCACAATGGCAAATATTTGCAGTATAACCGCAGCGGTGTACCCAACAGCGATTCCGACACTGCTTATCTGGGTGCTCAGCGCCAAAGCCCCGCTACTCTTCCCGTCTTCATTTAAGGATTCCTGATACCCCAATAACGATTGGTCCTCATCACTATCCGGCGACCGGACCCTGATTGTGGTCGTTGTGCGAACGAGTGGTTCCTCATACACCAATTTCGGATGGTGCCGTACGAGCACTGGGAGAAAAGCGTTCAGTAGCACAAAGGACGCTCCGAAACCGATGTTCCCAAGGATAGCCCACAACGCGGCGAAGAGGTAGTACCTTGCAGAAACCGTGATAAACGCCATAGTAGCAAGACTCCCAAGAGCGGCGAACGCGAGTAACAGTCGCTTCCTATAAGCTCCTAAAATGCAGCAACAGTTAACCCCGCACCCACACGCACACCCCACAAAAACAAACAAACAAGAACAAGCCCCCACGGGAGTTTATATAGAAAGCTCACCATGATCTGCAGCGCCAGACATAGAAACAATAATAAGAGACTGAAGCAAGACAGAAAGCGAAAAAGTGTACCTATGCCCAACAAGCACACAGTGTTAGCCCACAACCACAACGCGCCACACTGCCAGAGATAAAGTCGCACATGGCAAAGGAAGCAGTATTCATCTCCCAGCCCAACAAATAAATAACGCATTGGCCAGCCTGCCCATCCTCGATACCGCCAGCCCCGGGTTCCAGCCCCGGCCCAGACCCCGAAGACGACCCGCACGGGGTGCTCTTATCCGATAACAGCACGCCGTTCTCCCTGGCCAGCTGCTCGAGGGTGACGGGAATAAACGAGCCAACACCACACACGACAAAGACCTCTGCTGCCCATGCGTACCAGTACCACCCCATTAACTCCTTCCGAGACGTGGTCCGCACATCCTGGCCGATGAATTGCGGTGTTGGGGTCAAGGGGTGTCGTTGCAAGTGCGGAGGCACATTGCACGGGTAATCGTCGTCGTCTGCATCCGAGAAGGAGCGCTCGTCGTCCGCATCCTCGGAATCTGGGTCCAAAAGTGCCTGGTACCGGGGAACCATGATGTTGTTGAGGGCGAGGGGAGGGAAAATGGAAAAGGTAGGAAGGAGCTTTGTATGTTGAAGGGAAGCGTTCCAACCAACAACTAGGCTGGCTGGTCGGCTGGCTAACCTGGGCTGGGGTTTAACTCAACCCTCTTGGGGTGCAAGAAGCGAATGGATTATTGGGCCCTTTTTTGGAGGGGGCAAGGGATTAGTCATCAATTTGCCGATCTGACGGATTGGGCCATAAACGGTTTTTCTCGGTTGGAACAATTGGCTCTGGAAAGGTTTCCTCCGCCTAGCTGATGAGCGGTCCACTCGGAGCTCACGGTGGAAGGTTTTTAGTGGTGAGGTGGGGAAAAGTGTTTCCCGGGCACTTTATTTCGTGGCATGGATACTGTATCATACCAAGTGCAGTTTACTGGAGTAGATTGCTGGGGTAAGGCGAAGGGTACCAGAATCATAATAAGTTACAGTATTACCAATGGCAAAAATAAGGTTCCCGTAGTGCATCTTTCAATTATGACGCTCTAACCCCGGCTCCTCTCGTAGGTTTACCTTCGCGAATCGACAGTGATTCCTCTACAGTATGGTTGGGGTGCAGCAAGACATGAATGGTTATTATAATATAATAATGTATCTTACCACCCCATCTTTGCACCTTCATTCTTGGCCTCCCAGCTTCGTGAGGCCAACAATCCAGCATCTGGGCACAGCATCCGCACTGCGGAACTCCCTATGAAAATATCCATGGAAGTCGATCGCATTCCAAGCCGTCATACCGGTATCTCTCGACACGATCTTTTTTTTTGGACCGTTACTCTAACCCCCACTCAGGGTCACGATACGTTCACAATAATAACATTATCATAATCATGTATTACCATAATATTATTATTATTTTTATATCGATAATCTTACAATAATATGATTGTTCATATATTATCACTCGTCAATAAACCCCAAAACTCATGGATGACAACTGCACTTATGATTGGCAGACGTTCGACTTATGTTCAAGTTCTATGCTCAGGGTTTATGCTCATTCTCGTAGCTTCGTGCTGTCCTGACGTATGGCGTGCCAGGTATGTATGTAGCCGCATTTGACGCACCCTCGTCCGCGCGCAGTAAGCTGCATGAACCCTGTTCCAGAATCTGCTCCAGTGCTGAGGGTATGGCCCGGCTGAGCTCCATCCAAAGCTACATTCAATTCGAACAACCTTTTCCAAGGAGAAGCTGAAGGAAAATGTTGTGCCAGCCTGCAGAGAGGGAAAAAAAGGGCAAGACAAAAAAAAGACAGACATGCTGAAGAAAGTCTTCCCACGATCGAAGTTTTTGTCTCTCGATTCGCGGAGAGGCATTCGGATAACTGCTCGAGTGTGAAGAAGGAGAAAAAATATTTTGAGCTATTGGATATCCAGGGCAGAAGTTCATTTTTTCTTCTTCTTCACCCCCACAGCTGCCGATTCATTTTCAATATGCTGTCCATAGCGTCTTGGAGTTTGACCAATTGCTTCGTGGAACCGGATGCGGGGAATATTTGTGAAGCCTGATATCATTGCTCACGATAGGGGAAAAAAAAGTGATTTTGGGGAGGAGGAGAATTGTGTGATTGATTGAATTTTCCGCTGGCGGGTGATGGCTTCGAGTGATAGGCAGGAAATATCTCCCGGGGGATAAATGGGTTACTTTACTCGAGTATTATGGAGTTGATGGGAGTTTACTGGTTGGCGCTTTTTAGGAGTTGGTTTTTTTAGGGTCCGATAGATAGATATTCTTTTCAACAAACATAATGCCGTATCCTACCTCAGATGATGGGCCAGAGTGGATTCTAGGGTGCTTGAGTGCAGTGTATGATACCAGTATGCTGGTGCTGGATCGTGTTCAAGGATTTTATCGACACCAGTATGATACTCGAGTATCATACTCGAGTACTCGCAGTGTAGTGAACCAGACCACATGATCGGGAGATGGAGGAAATTGGCGTCAAGGCTGGCATGCTGAGAGAAAATCCAGCAGCCAGAAGCCCGCAGCCAGCAGCCAGCCGTTCAACCACCCAACTGTGTTTATTCCGGCATCTTGTGCCCTAATGAACCAATGAAAAATGAAAAGGAAAAAAACCAGATAAAGCTAAGGGTAGAACTGCCTCTGAGAAGAGTTACGCTAATCACAGTAATGGCGTGGGGAGCATTAATATTGTGTTTGTTGGAGGACAGCTGTACGAGTATTTCTAGTCTAGTGATTCATCCAGCATCATTCGAAAGTCGGTTAGCAACGCTAGAGGTCCCGTAGGTTCCTGTTAGACTGCCGCATTGAAGGTCATCAACTACGGTTGATAGTTACTGTACCTGTGGTAGAGAAGGGTAGATGCCGCTATGATACTATGATCTCAGAGTTCTTGGCAGAAGGAGGTGGTCTTGTTGTATGATTTGATTATGATAATGATTTTAATTTAATTTACTGAGTATTAGACTATGCTCTTGGAAAGTGGTCAGATCATTGGCAACCGGAAAAAAAAAAAAAAAAAAAAACCCGGATTCTCTGTTGACATTTCCATCACCAAGACAAAGCCAGACAAACAGAGAAACACAAAGAAAGAAAAATTGAATATCATCCACACGATGCAGACTTGATAATGAGACGAGACTATAGGGTAATGCTGTGCATATCATTCTGGCAGCGTGGATCACATTCAAGCAGTACAGTACCGTACCGTAGTTCCTAAAAGCTAAGACCAACCTTCCCGTTCATCCCCCCAAAAAAGCCTTCCCCGTTCCATCAGCCTCATCAACAACGCTTTTTCCGCTCCCCCCCCTATCGTTCTCCCCCCCCCCATCTCTGGGTTTCATCGTCTTCCTCTCACCTCGCTTCACCTCCACCTTCGGCCCCGAGTCACAGCTTATCGACCCTACGACACGCGAACCTTCACCCCTGGGCCATAGCTCTCCTACCAACAATCTCCTAACTTCCGCTCCGCGTCAAAACGCGCGACTATCCCTTGCAACCAACTCCGGCATCTTCACTTCTACAGGTGCAACAAAGAAACTTCCTGTCGCACACGTCAACGCCTAACTACGAGCAGCGGACATATCTCTGAGCACTCGTCTCCGCCGGACGAACAGAGGTGCCCTGACCAACCGACGGCGCCGTGTTGGCGGCAGAAGCCATGCCCCAAGCGATGACGCCAGGAGATCTGGTCGACGCTTCCCGCCATGATTTTCAACATGGCACCCCAAACCATTCGGGATCTGCCCCTGGCAAGCAGGCAGAGCTTGTCGTTCGGAACCCTCGCCTCCCGCACATCACACAGGGCTTCATCGAGCTGAGATTGCTTGTTTCTCGACTGGTACAGGATTCGCACAATAGGTTACAAGGGATGATCGGCCTGTTGGCAGAAGGGGGACGGTCGGATGGGGACAAGAAGGCGCGCATAATAGAGCACATGCTGGAGAGGCGGAAACAATTTATCAAACTACTGGTTTTGACCATGTGGGCGAAAAATGCGCAGGCGGTTAGTGAGGTAATTGATCTCAAGGTTTTTCTGGATACTCGACAGGAAATTTTCCACAGGGTGGTCTGGAACCTCTACGAGGTCAGGAGGAAAATGAGTTATGCTAGGTGCGGCCCTGCTCTGGATTGGGTGCATGAATTTTAACGGACGCTTCTAACAATCCCAATTCTAGAATTCCTAACCCCGACCTCGACACCGCCGTGCGGGTACTATCCACGGGTCGGGCGAATACTGCGATGACTGTATGTAGTCTTCACCTTCACATATCGTGTTTTACTGACGAGCTTTACGCAGAGGCGCTATGTCCCACCTAAGAAGTTGACATCCGGGGAAACGTTGAAAATATTACGAGATCTCAACACGCTACTCTCTCTACGGCTTGCCCTTCACGAGAAACTGCCGCCTTATTTCCGGGACTACACGATTGCATCTGGCCGTGTGACCTTCACCGTCGCCGATGAGTTTGAAGCGGATCTATCCATTGGGGACGAAGACCCGACATCCCAGTTATATCTGGTCGATTTCCGCTTTATATTTAAACCATCGGCCTCAACCCTCCCAGCCGGCCGCATCAGGGATGAGGTTGAAAGAACTGGCAATAAAATCTTGGAGCAGAAGGGACTGGAAGGAATCTACGACTACTTGCATGGGTTCGTCATGACAGACAAGATATGCACACTTGCCCGCCAGTTCCAGATAATGCTCACAGGCAGATGGACTGAGAACTTGGTAGTCGAGATGCGCAAGAGGACATTGGTTGTACAATACTGGGTCAGTAGGGTTACAGAGGGCGCAACCAAGAGCTGGATCGAGGTCGGTATTAAGCGTGGCACCGGAGGGAGGCCAAGCCATGTCGGCGTGCGATGGATACGCGATGGGAAAGCGGTCCAAGATCAGGAAGTTCCTCTGGACGTAGCGGTTCTATCTGCTGAGAACCTGATCAAAACCGTAGTTGCTATGCACACCAAACACATACTCACCTCGATACGGGGCCGGCTCGCGCATTCGCCAGTATTCCCGCTATCGGCCATGGTCCTAACCACTCATTCAACGGACTCGTTTAATTCCTCACTAAAACTACAATTGACACCTTCAAGACCAATCAAGTTTCTGATTGAACCCATCACAGGCCGATTTGCATTGCACCCACTCACCATGGTGTCGACACATGTCGAAGCTGCAATGAATAATTCACCCACCGGTGTCGAGGAGGTGATCATAAGGCTGAAATTCGTGTTAACACAGGAGGAGGTTGAGACCAGGGCTCGCAGCATGGGATGGGAGGTATTGAAGGTGCTTAATATTCGAAAAGAGGAGCTCAAGGGATTCTTCCCAAATAGTACCAAGTACATAACATATCTCAGGAGGAAAGGCTGGGGGAAGGAATGGGTCGTTGTTATGGTTCTGGCAGAGACAGGCCAGACCTGGTGGGTTGCTAAAGTGTAAGCATTTCCTACTCAAACAAGACAGATCCATCACTCCTAACCCCACACAGATACGAGGCTCCCAGCCAATGGTCCATGAGCATGGCCCTTGAGATCCCCGTGCAGGGCGAAGCCAACGCTACGTACGGTTTCCTAGGAAACCTGGAGAAAATTTCATCGGCGATGATAACCCTATACGTCAATCAATCAGTACTAGTTGAGAAGGGAGTGCAGCACAAGCTCCAGCCCAGCAAGGTAGCCGATCCCAAACTCACCATCCCAGACCTATATATCCGCTTCTCTAGCCTGATCCGCGCAAACTGGGGCATCGACGTCCTGCGATTAACCTTCCAGGGGCTAGGAACAGAGGGGAAATGTATCGTGACGGTCCTCGGCAGAACCAAAGAACCAATGACCCAACTTGGCTCGACAAACATCTCAGCAGCAGACAGCGATGTCTCCTTTCACCCACAATCCGGCAGCTATGCAATAAGGTTTAACATTAATGTTGGCGAATCGGTCATAGAGCCGCTAACAGAGAAGCTCCACCGCATAGAACGTCTGATCCGCTTCGTCGCCGTGATCCGGAGATTCAAACTCCCATGCTTGGACGTCTCCCTGGGCAGGATCGCCTTCACGTACGACACCGAATCAAACTCCTCAGCAGAAGTCAGCTTCTCCGGTGATCGCGAGATGAAGCTCCACCTCCCACCCCGAAGCCCGCATATCCGTATCAAAGGCTTCCTAGAACACAGACTCAACGTCTCGGGCTTAGAAACTGTTGTAATGGCACTAACGGTAACACTTCCACTCCTTCTCGCTTTCGAAAGGATCGAGGCGGCCGTCGGCGACAGGAGTGACGGCCACGTCTTCGTGCTCTCCAGGGGCGTGGATTGGTTCCGCATCTACTATCGGCGCCTCGGCGTGGTTCTCGATTGGCAGCTCCAGTGTCGCAAGAGCGTGCTACATTGGTTTGTGCGCGACGCCGCGAGCAGCAATCCCGAATCCGAGGCCGAGATCGTGGGTGGGGAGGGCAGACGTAAGGCTGAGGAATTGAAGGGCATCTGGAGCGGCGAGGTGGAGGGGGATTGGGAGCCGTTGAAGAGTGGGGCTGCTGCAGGACTACGCGAGGTAGGGGCTCTGGCTTGGAAGATCCATGAGTTGATTTATGCGGGGAGGCGCGCGATATCGTAAGAGGGGAAAAGGGCCAGAGGGGAGGCTGTACCATTAGCTTCATTCTTTCTTCTGTCATTTTTTACCGCTTTTCCAAATTCCTTTCTTTCTGTTACACCCACCGCTGCTACCACCACCACGGCTAAGCGTAACGACACGAAAATAGCTATTACCTAGATGGCCCATGGGCCTTTCCCCTCCTCATCTCTCTCTTTCTCTTCCCTCTCTCATCCTACCACTTATTTCCTCGGAGGTGTCTCACGCACAGTCTCTCCTGTTCGATCTCCCATCCTCTTTCTCCACCCCCTACCCACCTAATTCCTGGCCCGGTGTGGTGTGGGATTGGTGGGCGGTTCGAAACGGATTATTTTTAATTATTTTTTTCTTTCTTTCAACTGTCCGATTCTAGGGCTGGAGTTTTGCTTTTTTTCTTCCTTTTTCCTCTTCTCATCATACAAACATCAAAACTTATTTCTAGTTCTCTTTTTTTATCTTTCATGTTATGTCATTTGATGGCGGGGGTGCGCGGATGTACATATCACGGTAGGGTAGGGGTTGGTGTGATAGGTTTTTTCCTCCTGTTTCATGAACGGAGTGGGGGGTATTCATTGTTAAAGCAAATGTGAGAGGAGAAGGAAGGGGAAAAAAGAAAAAGAAAAAAAGTCAACCAATCGTTTGTGTATGTAGTGTAAGCTATTCACGATATAATAGACTTACAATCCCCTCCAATATTTTAACCGCTGAATACATCTCCGTTTGTTTGCACCAACTACCCTTCACAAGCGAGTAAAATCAATCAACCTTTCTTAACCCACCCTTCCACAATACTTCTCCCACGGGATACATTCTCATTCACAACCCTCCTCCCATCCCGAACCGCCTTCCCACTCGTCTCCGCGGCCTCTTCAATCCCACGCCGAACAAGCAAGTGCTTCTCTGCGACCTCAGGAACCATCTTCTCCCACTCCCACACCAAATCCGCCACGTTCCGTGTTGTCTTTGGCAGGAAGTACCATCCCGCGCCTATGCCAACAAACACGGGTGTCAGTGCGCGGATGGGAAACATGCGGTTCCGCGCAACGATGGAGCCGGCCATGGCCGAGACGGCGACGTACAGGATGCCCGGGACCACCTTTTCCTCCGAGGACTTGGGAGGCGCAAGGGAGCTTATGGTTGAGGTTATGCTGTGCTCGTAGGAGAGGTACTTGGAGAACGCAAGGTCAATGTGCTTTTGTAGGAGGACGGTGTGCGCGTGCAGAAATAGCCGGGCTTTGCGGATCTCGGCGGCTAGGCGGTCGGTTGGGGTTGGAGTTGTTGTAATTAGACTTGGGGATTTTGTGTCGGCGAATGTGGGCGTGGTGGTGGTGGTGTGGGAGTATGTTGGGGGGGTATCGTAGATTGATTTCTTGCCCTGTGGTGGATCAATTAGTCCCTTGTTGTTTATTGAGCTGTGGTTCGCACTAATTGGGAAGGGAGGAGAAGCATACCCGTCCCTCATCGGCAAACACGGGAGTAATAGTACTAGCTATCGCTCCGATAGTAGTGAGTGTAATGATGGCGGTGCGCTACCGACCACAATGTTAGCTTATTCTTCTTCAAAGCAGGGGATCGAAGCAATTGATCGCACAGTATCGACCAGAAGCTTACCTGTGAGCTAAGACGGAATGCCATTGGCTGTAGGTAGATTGTTTGGTAATGAGGGTGCTGTTGGTCGGGTGTAGTGTGGTGGTGGTGATGTGATGTTCGGGGAAGTTATCGAGGTCCTCGATTTTGGCTTGGCAGAGATGGCATCAGGTGTCACTCGGAAGTGTCTTTTTTTTCTTTCTCTGGGGACGTCCAAGGGGGTGCCATACCGGTAGTGCAGTGCACCTTCATGGTGGAGTCTTTTAAGACTAGGAAGCTAGTATGATAATTTATTGGCCGTATGATTCACTGGCATTATCACAGTTTGGAGGTGGAGCGGTGCTTATATCAACTGAAGCTCTAAAATAATTATTGAATATGAGTGGATCCGCAGAGCCTCCCACTTGAGCCTTGGCAGATTCTCGTATTGTAAGTTACTTCGCGCCGGCATCCTGCATGCCGGCCCAGCTATTACTATCTTTCCTTCGCAACATTTTCCATGGCGGCAAAGGTGTAAGGCTCCAATTCTCACCCCCGTTCTCCATTCCTTCTAACGCTTGCCTTCCAGCTTGGTTATCGGCGCAACAAACGGCCACTTCATCGAAGCCTTTGCAAAAATCACAGCTCTACACGCGAAAAACAACTTCTCACTCTCCCTCCTCCTCGGCGACCTATTCTCAGATCCAAGCCAGGCAACCTCCAAAGAGGCGGAGAACATAGAACGCCTACTCCACGGCAAGATCCGTGTTCCATTACCAATCTACTTTGGGCTGGGACAGCACTCGCTCCCTGTGCCCGTCCGCGAAAAGATCAATTCATCCGGCGAAGTCTGCGAGAACCTCTTCTTTCTCGGAAAGAAGACTATCCTGAACACGTCCGACGGCATACGGATCGTTGCGCTGGGCGGGAGGCTAGATGCTGGGCTCGTAACCGGGGAAACGGGAGGTATCGAGGGAGAAACATTGCCGTTTTATTCGGATAAGGACGCGAAGGGGTTGAAGGGAGCTAATTATGCAGATTTACTGCTTACTTATGAGTGGCCGGAAGGGGTGGGGAATCTTTCTGCGCTCGCACCGCCGGGCGTGAAAGGTACGGGTGTGATTGCAGAATTGGCGGCGGCACTGAGCCCTAGGTATCATTTTGCTGCTGGTGGAGAGATATTTTGGGAGAGGGAGCCGTATCAGAATGGGATGAGGTCGAGTGATGGAGGATCTGATACTAAGATTACGAGGTTCCTGAGTGTTGCGGATTGGGGGAATGAGAAGAGGGCAAAGGCGTTGTATGCTTTCTCAATTAACCCCAAGGATACAAATATTTCAAGACCTGCCTCCACTACTGCCTGTCCGTATCGAGAGGGCGGGGGCAAGAAAAGACCGAGACAGGACTCAACTGGCGGAGCGAGCTTTTTCTGGGGAGATCACACCAGTGGCGGATACGAGCGGGGCGGCAGGGGCGGCAAGCGCGGGAGAGGGGTAAGAGGCGCGCGGGAAGCTAGGCCTCCACCTGGACGCATGTGAACTCTCACCCTTTCCAACGAGACCTTAGCTAACTTGTCACCAGCCGAATCCTGTTTCTTCTGCCTGAGCTACCCGCAACTCGAAAAGCACCTGATAGTCTCGATCGGTAACGAAGCATACGTAACTACCGCCAAAGGCCCGTTAACAAACCCTACCACCAACCCCTCTACACTCCCATTCTCGTCCCACGTCCTTATAATCCCCCTGACCCACACACCAACCGTAACTGCCATTGACGATGAAGACTCACGAAAGTCCACCATCGAGGAAATGACAAATTATCGTCTGGCGATAGAACGAATGCTCAAAAGTCGCGACTGCGGCGCAGTAACCTTTGAGGTATCCCGTGCTAATGGTGTGCACTCCCATTGGCAGCTAATCCCTGTACCTGTTGATAAATTGGCGGCTGTGGAAGAAGCTTTCAAGAGCGAAGCTTTGGCTGACCGAATTGGGGAGTTTGAAAAGAGAGGGTTGGATGCTGAGAACGAGGGGGATTATTTCCGGATATGGATATCTGGGATGGATGGGAGCCTAGTGGTCAGTCTGAAAGAGGGGGAGTACTTTGATTTGCAGTTTGGTAAGTTGTTCTTTCTGTCGTGGTTAGAGCTGGGTTGTGTCTGACTGGTTGCATAGGCCGAAAAGTATTGGCGAAGGTGATGGGTCTCAAAAGCGTGCATTGGAGGGATTGTGCACAGACTTTTGAGCAGGAAGTTAAGGACGCGAACGATTTCAAGGAAGCTTTTAAGTCTTTTGATTTTAGTTTGTGATGTACGATTGCTTTATAGATATGTAATGTATTACTAACTGTTATAATTACAATAGCCTGATGTAACTTAGATAGCCAATTTTCAATTATTTACAGCAAGGGACGCAAGCTCTGGTGCCTAAAGATCTTGACAGCTTTATAATGGCCCCAGTGTAAAGGCACAAGTTTGCACCTACTATCACTCGGTAAATTACCTCCCGCGCCGGAGGTCAGCCGGAGAGCTTGGACCAGTACTGTACTCACTCGTCTTTGCCAAGAATACCTCCGCGAGGCGAATATTTGGGAGGACTCCTGCAAATTATCGGCTGGCGAAGGTATTCTTGGCAAAGACGAGTGAGTACTGTACCAAGCCTGTAGAACCGCAAACTGAACCCGGTCTGCGATAGAGCATATGAGGCATTGTGGCGGACGGCTAGTTCGGTCCGACTACATGGTTCCAAATGTGCCGGAAGCCAGCGACTCGCCAGGTTCACTGCAATACTAGCTTTACCGATTTAAGCATTTGTAGGCCCAATTTAATGCGATCTAATAATAATAAAAGGCGAAACAGTGGATTTTTTTTTTGGAGGTTCCATCACAGACAGCTTTCTTGAACCGATTCGGGTCATGCTTGAGCACTTTACAGCGCAGTACTGCAAATACCAAATATATAGTGTCTTAGAGCACGAAAAAGCGCACTGTTTAGAGAGACATTTCATAAGTTACGGTACCAGTTGAATATGGGTAGTTCCGAGGTCTTTTGTCCGGGTAACCGGGGGCTGGATTACAGGGATTTTCAATTCCTCTGACAGAGCCGCCAGTTGTACACGCATGTTACATACTATGATGCAGCGAGGCAACAGTGCATTCGGCGGGGGAATTTTGATAGCGGGGGGTGGGGCCAATAACCAGCTTCCAACGCTTCCTTTTGTCTTGGCATTTCCATTGTGATTCCCTGGTCTCTCTCTCTCTTTCTGCTTCACGACAACTAGACTTCCTTTTGAATTTAGCTTGTCCCTTCCACTTAGCAACTTTAACCCACCCACCACTGCTATCATACCGTCAACCGTCAACCGATTTTACACCACCACCACCACGAACCCTCGCTTTCTCTGGTCCTTCATTTTCTTTTCTTTTTCCTCCCCCCCCCCTTGTCTTTCCTCCACTGCTGCCATATTTCCTCACTTCACCTCCTCCGAGCGTTAGCTAACGTCTGTGGTGAATCGTCTTTTTCTTGGTTTTTTTTTTTTTTAGACTTTCTCGGAACGAGTACTCTTGTGTTTTGGTGGGACAGGGGCTTCGAGCTAGCATTAATTTCTTCTTGAATTTCTGAATTGAAGATGAATCGCTCTCGCGGTAAGATCAGGCCGCCACGTAGGGTATTATCTGTTCTATCCTGTTTGTTTACCATCTCATGTCACGCCTCGTGAAGACTGACATTTGGGAAAACAAAAATAAATAAATAGGGGCTCGCCACGGATCATGTAGATTTTGACGAATACTGGGAGGTCCTGGCCCAATCGCTGCGAGAAATCTACGCAAAGAACGCCTCCCACTTATCCTTTGAAGAGGTCTATAGAAACGCATATAAACTTGTCTTGAAGAAACACGGTGATCGCCTCTACGGGAATGTGAAGAAGTTGGTTGGAGAGCACTTGCAGATGGTTGCCGTTAATGATGTTAAACCTTTGCTACCTAGCTCCATTGTTACTGGGGACGTTTCGTTTGGTACGGCAACTACCGAGAGGAGGACGGTTGGGACAAAATTCTTGGAAAGATTGAAGTTTGTTTGGGAAGACCATCAACTCTGCATGGGCATGATGAAGGAGGTTTTAATGTATATGGTTGGTCACCTGTTTCTGGTGGTTGGGTTTGGGCAAGTATATTTCGATTTTGCTGACTTTGGAGTAGGATCGAGTGTTTTGCGCTGATCATAAAATCCCTTCGATATATGTTTCTTGTATGGGGCTTTTCCGTGATCACATCCTAAGGCATCCTGAGTACAACATTGGGAACGCTTTGAACAGTGTTATCATGGACCAGATTAAGATGGAGCGGGATGGCGATATCATCAATCGTGCTACAATTAGAGCTTGTGTATACATGCTTGAAGGGTTATACGAAACAGAGGAGGAGCTTGAGGATCAGAAGGTGTACCTGACAAGCTTTGAAAGTATGCTCACCTTCCCAAAATTAAGCTTTTCGAAGGCAGCATGGAAGGCAGCATGGTTTGCTCAACGCTAACCGAATCGGAACTATAGAGAACTTTATCCTGGCCAGCGAAGTGTTCTACCAAAAGGAGGGAGAACAATTGCTGCGGGATTGTGATGCTGCCACATACCTACGAAAAGTAGATAAGCGTCTCAAGGAGGAATATTCTCGGTGCCACGATACCTTGTCCGTGCTGACTGAACCGAAGATAATGAAAGTCGTTGACCAGCAATTGATTGATGCAAACATAAACGATGTTATGGAGATGGAAGGCTCAGGTCTCCAGTTTATGCTAGACAATGACAGATACGAGGACTTGAAGCTTGTCTATGAGTTGATCAGCAGAGTGGATTCCGAAAAGAGGAGCCTCAAGAAAAAAATGTGTGCAAGGTTGGTGACAATGGGTAAAGAGGTTAATCGAACAGTCTCCACACCGCAGACAGGTACAGCTTCAGGAACAGACGGTACAGGAGATTCAAGCAAGTCGAGTGCTACGATAGTAAGCGAAGAAAAGGTAGCGAACAACATAACTCTTGTTGCTATCAGATGGGTCGATGAGGTCTTGGCACTAAAGGACAAATATGAAAACATCTGGGAACGGTCATTTGATAGGGATAAAGGGATACAAGCTGCCATGACCAGGGCATTCACAGATTTCATCAACGATTTTGACAGATCGCCGGAATTCATCTCTCTGTTCATCGACGAAAATCTACGCAAAGGCCTGAAGGGCAAGACAGAGAGTGAAGTTGATGCTGTGCTTGATAAAGCGTTAACTCTGTTCCGATATATTGCTGATAAGGATGTTTTCGAAAGATATTATAAAAAGCATCTTTCTCGTCGTCTTTTGATGAATCGCTCGGTGTCCCACGATGCTGAGAAGCAGATGATTGGTAAATTTAAGATGGAGGTCGGATTCGCATTCACAGGCAAGTTTGAAGGCATGTTCAAAGACATGAATATCTCAGAGGAGATGACAAGCGAGTTCAAAAGGCTGTCGCAAGAGAGTGATAACAACTACAAGAAGGGTGTTGAGTTGTCCGTCCAGATTCTCACATCTACTTTCTGGCCAGTGGGTGGGGGCACAAGCGATCATCCATGTATCTTTCCACTGGAGATCAGGGCCGTCAGGGATTCATTTACACAATACTACCTAGATCGACACAGCGGGCGCAGGTTAGATTGGCGCCCTGATATGGTGTGTTTTCTTTTCCTTTCTCTTTTCCTTTCCCAAGTGTATAAATTAATTTACGAGTTGTTAATCATGGTGACTTGTTACAGGGTACGGCGGATGTCAGAGCTACTTTCAAAGGGAAGAGGCACGAGTTAAATGTTACAACCTATGGTATGGTTATTTTAATGGCCTTCAGCGAGCTCAGCTCCGGAGGGACATTGTCCTTTGAGGTGTGATCTCTGTCCCGGTGCTCCTGTGACTAGTTAACATTTAGTAGGAAATCCAGACCATCACCTCCATCCCAGAGCAGGATCTCGTCCGAAATCTCCAAGCTCTCGCGGTAGCCCCTAAAACACGCGTTCTAATCAAGAAGCCAATGTCTCGAGATATCCGGTTAACAGATGTCTTTGCTGTTAACGAAGAATTCTCCTCAAAATTCATGCGCATTCGCATTGGCGTAGTAGCTACCAATCGCGCTGAAACTGAGCAGGAGAGAAGAGATACAGATGAGAAAACCGAGAGATACAGAGGGGCTACAATTGAAGCTGCCCTTGTGAGAATAATGAAACAACGAAAGCTTATATCTCACACAGAGCTTGTCAATGAGGTGCTTACTCAAATGGCCTCGAGGTTTAACCCCGACCTTACAATGATAAAGAAGAGGATTGAGTCATTGATGGAAAGGGAATATATGGAGCGTGCTGAAGGGGAGAGGCAGGTCTATCGCTATATTGTATGTTCTCCCATGACATCACCTCCTCTCCTTACTGTGATAATAGGATATTACCCGGAAACAGTGCTAAGATTGTTAGGCCTAATTCCACACCCCCTGACCCAAAAACCTTGCTGTTGGCTATCCCATCTTATCCCCTTTATTTTTTTCAACAGGGTGGTGTCTTTTCTCCCTTTTTAAATTCATACCTACATCCTTTCTCCTTCCCTCTTTCTCAATTCGGTCATCTTCATTTCTAGTATATACTTGGCGTTCGTGAAAAAAGCGGCCTGATACGTCCTATAGGGGACCTTTTCATTTTTCAGTTTTTGCTTTCTTCCTATATTTCTTTTTCCCTACACGGACTAAATGAGCGGTGATGGAATGGCATGGACGGGTAGTTGCAATGAAATCTTTGATGATAAAATGGGGTTTGCCCTCCCCAATGGGAATAAATAGTTTGCTGATTGTACTGAGAATATCAATGGGTGTTACAGTATTGCGATATCTGTATCTGAGTGGTTTGGGGTTTGCAAAAAATTGTCGCTAGTGGGTTGCATGATTGCATTGTTACTAAAAATTTGTAAAAAAGGGAATAATTGTCGGCTTGCGAGTAGCTTGGCAGTTGTTATAGTTTTTTGTTGCTGCTGGTGATTGGGGGGGGTGAATGAGGTTCGATACGATACCATCTAGCTCAACCTAGAACACTAAAAGTATTTCCTTCTGTTCAGTGCGCAATTGAAACTAGAAGTCGCTAGAAAATAATACCACCGTACGGGATGAACCGAATTGAGTTACGTTAATGTTCCACGGCTCACCATGAAGCTGTCAATTTGTGATGTGTCACGACAGCTCACTCGCACCCGTGTCCACGGAAGCCAAATCCGCACGGGGCGTCACTCGAATGGTGATGGGGATACGGATCCTCACCAACACACCGACAAAACATAAATTAAACTGCTCCAAAGAGAGACGGGGTTTCGCAGTGCTGGGGTTTCTGTGACTGTTATTTAGCAATTCTTACTGCAGAAAGCTGGTGCTGTGCCTTGCCCTCTTGAGCCCCCGGCAACATTAGAGTGGAGAAGATGGGTATTTGTTGTGAAGGTTTTGGGCAGTTTGTTTTATTTCGAGAAATCCATGTGCTGGGCTGACTCACTCGAGCAGTATGTGTTTTTTTTTTTCTGGGCTGTGGGAGCGAAAGGGATCAAGAGTGAGATCTTATGAAGTATTACGCGTACAAGTCTAACGGTGATAGGGGAAACAAATCGGCTTATTAACGTCCATGCATCGGACAGAAATTCTCGCCGCCACCGCCACCACTCCCTCCACTCAATCCATAACTCTATCCCACACTGAGGATTTCCACTCAAGATATGCATCGCCTGATAGGATACCAGCAACACCCACCTTCTTCATTCGTTGCTCACTCGATAACGGGGAATGGGATGGGGTTTTAGGTTTGTTTGAACCAACCCACTCATTACCTCCCCTTTCTCATCTATGTTCCATTCTGTCTGACTGTGCCTGGTTCCTGCATGAAGGATTTGACGATTGGTCGGTCCTTGCCGTGTCCTTTTTTCTTTTTCTTCTTTTTTCTTTCACAGGCTCTCCCTCGGGGAATGACATGGAAATATCCTGACTGTGATGTAGGTAGACTTTCATCAGCTAACTGGCTAGGCAGCCCGAAAACCGCCACGAGTAACGAGTAACTAAATACGAATCTACAGTCCACGAGCCAGAGTACTGAACACGCCCATCTTTAAGTACCATGTCGGTACGCAGCAATGGCAAAATGGCCTCTAGAGAAAAGAATGATCAGCAAGTAGCAGGCATGTGGTCGCTCGGCCCTGGAACCGTACCCCTGGACGGGTCTTTGAGGGGCATCGCCTCCAGCAAAATACCATTCCAGAAGGAGGGGCTTGACATTGGTAATGTTGGTCGATATAATACCCTGGATAATTTTAAGAGCAATAAAGATCTGAATAATTTCCCGGCTGACTCATTGCAAGCAGGGCCTCATTGTTGGTGATTGTACCATAGCAAGCGTTCCGCCTCGCTCTCATTTCCGTGTCCGAGAGTGAGGAGTGAGGTTTTCCCCCAAGAATTATCCTGGCCCGTGGCAAGAGGTCCCCGGGTCCAAGGATCCAAGACGAGGGGGTCAGAAAGGGACAGAAAGGGACAGAAAATATGAGGTGCGATGATTGGGGCTCACGTCTTCTCACTCGTGTTTCATCATGCCGACAAGACTACGTGGTGGATTCCCTATTCCTCCATGCAGACGGTATAGACGCCCAGGCGAAACTATGTGGAAACAAGTATAGCGAACAGTACGAACATGCATACCCCTCTCTCTAACCGTAAGTTAGAGTAGAAAGGAGGAACTGCAATGCTCGAGTACTCGTACCAGTAATTGTATTTTGTATGATGAGAATTGCCATTCTACATCACCCTGCCTGCCACATAATTGGGTGGCTGTGCCCACCTTATGTTGCACAATGCACGGGCCGACGATTATGATTACTTTTCTGGCGTTCACCTACGGTAGCTAAATAAAAACAAGGACAATTACTTAGGCAGGAAACGTATCAACACTCGGCCGCAACAAGTATTTTCAAATGTTGGACCCTGGAGTAAGTGGGGGATCGGTTGGGGAAGGGCTCCGTGGTTTAATTTCACAAGAATATTGTGCTATGGTTTAGTAGATGATAATATAATACAAGTAGATGAAATAATTTGTATTATAGGGAGGATGGGGTAATTTTGAACCCCATACAAAGTTGTCCTGGCTAACTTAACTTGTATCAAAATCCATTGCTTGTAACATGATGTTTGGGTAGACTAAAAAGCATTGCGGCAGTAGGCCCTACAAGGCCTAACTTCAACCCAACTTAAACTGGAATTTTTCAGGAAATACCCCGTCTAATATATGTATTTATGTACCTGTATCATACCATACCGGTGCTTTACAGTACTTGGGTACCGGTATGATAGTCCATCATATTCGAGCACCGGTAACCTAACCTAGGTGTCGCACACCGTATTACAAAAGACACACCAGGCACCAGGTCTACTTTTACCTCACCGCATCTCCTGGCTTCTCCACTCCTACAATAGGTACGGGTACAAGTACCGCAAGAGTGCCGCAAGCCGACTCTTTAACACCGAGGATATCAAAGTGGCTTGCAGTAGTTGCCCCCCCCCAAAAAAAAAAAAAAAAAAAAAAAAAGAAAACCTCTCGACCGGAATAGGATGACGGCCTTGTCTGTGTGTTCTCTCCCGGAAAAGGCGGCTTTATCACAGTGTTTGTGCGACAGAGCGCTTCGCGTATTGGCCGACATAGTGTGGTTGGTTGGTTGTGTTTCCTTTCGATGACAAGTATTCTAGCCTTCCGTGCTGTTTATCGCGGCTTTCGAGGAACTCAACAAGTACGACAATGTGGGAGGTTGGAAAGGAAGATTCCCACTGTCTTAGACGCGCCTCGGGTCGTGTTTAACTCGATCGGGTGAAGATCTGGGGTTCCTTGATACAGGTACGAGTAGGTTGTTGAGCTTTTAGCGTGTGTAGTGGGGCCTTTCGGGTAGAGATCAGCACCGAGTGGTGATTTTTTTCTTTCCTTTTTTTACCTTTTCGTTCGTAGGTGGTCGGTGGCTGGGTTTGTCTGGTACTCGAGTACGGTACTGTACAGTATTCGTACGAGTACCAGAGGTTTTTTCTTTCTTTTTTTCTCTTCAACTCCCTTCTGGTTGTCCTGGCTTTTGGAATTGCGGTACCGATATCTTAGGTAAGCTGATTCAGGTCTGGCTCATTATCGGTATGTGGACTCGCCGCTATGGGGGTGGCCTGGGTGTGGATTTCGGCCAAGTCTTGATTTTATTCGGGGACGAGATGCCCGAGTACTGCGCTAGTACGGCGGAGATCGCGAGATTTGTCTTAGTCTTGGATTAAGCCTCTTGGAATACGGTACTCGAGTAGAGTGCTATATACGACGAGCACGAGTACTAGTACCTCAGTGCCTGTGGAGCATCCACATCACTGGAATGAGGGCGGCTATCTACCGTACTCTGTCAGCACGAGTACAACGCTGGTCCGGGTGCGGGCGGTCAGATTTCTCAGCGGGAAGGTTCTTGGATGACAAAGATAGCATGACTTCCCTAACGGAATATGCCCTGTCCGCCCGTTCTCGTCAAGGCAAGTCAGATTGACAGAAGGCAGATTGACATGACGGATGGTGCCAGGAGCCCCTTCAATAATGTGCACTGCTGTAATATGGTGTCCAGTTTATCCGTTTATGGGCTGTCGTGGATAATCCACAAGGGCGGAGCACCAGAATACACACCTCGTCAAAATACCGGTATTGGTATGATACTCAGCACACAATTCGTTACTGATCGGTCAGACCTTGGTAATCCAACCGGTAGCTCGCAAGCCAACCAATGGGGACTGTGTATTTGGGTGTTCCGCGACTACTGCACACTCGAGTACAGTACTCGAGTACTCGTACCTGTATCCAGCTATCCTACTTGTACAGCTTCCTCGGCTCAGGCGAAAACGTGTACTCGTAAGGGCTATCTTCCTCCACACGAAACACTTGCATTGTCAAGGAGCGGGGTGTGAAGCAATGGCGCAGCAAGTTATCGCTTCAAGCTATGGAGTAGACCGCGAATGGGCCCAGGGAGCAGCAGGTGGCACAGCGAACGAACCATGCAAGACCAGCACTCGCCAAGACATTGTGCATGGCTCGTATCAGACTGTGCTGGTACCGTACTGTACTAGTACCTTGTGCCGGCTACCGCAGGTGGACCTCGCATGACCCGAATCCAAGAGGTTGAGGTGGGGTAAAAGAAAAAATTGAGGATCTGCGGTGTGCATTTTCATAACACTTACTTGTATTACAAGTACTCGTACCATACGACAGCACTTGCTCGACTTGGGAAGTGGGTAGGGTCCAAGGTAGAGAGATCTAGTTTAGCAGCTTCCAAAAGGGCTTCGCTGTGGCAAATCTATCAATTTGCATGATCTCGGAGACAATAGATTGTCTAAGGACCCAAGGTCAGGTCAAGCGCGCAGCGATGGTAGGATTGCGGATGGATTGCCCCTGCGAGATCCTGAAGAGGGAATATGGATGATAAGGGATAAATGAATGGCATCTGAACCCGTATCATAACTTTCATCCCGGATATGTCCAGGGTTTGCCCGGTGGGAACACAGGGGTGGGGAACAAACGAACGAACCGGTGGGGAGAATCGCTACCAGCTTACCGTATGAGCATTGAAAGCTGAAATCCCACTCGCAGGATAATAATACCCGCATAGGTCTCTCTGGCCTCGGTGAAACAAACATCATATTATGGAGTTGAAAGCACTCTGTAATTCTTTCTCCTTTCTCTTATTGTTTCCGCGAGCTACCCGCCGCCGTATTTGTCACCTAAGGCTGAGATTGGGCGCGACTGTGGCGGGGATCAAGTCTAGGAGTTACCGTAGTGGGAGCAAACCGAATATATCGCATCATAATATTATGATGTGTATTTCTTTCTTTTTATTTTATTTTTTATTATTATTATAACCATTGTGGTACAGTGCTCACAACCTTACCTACCGTATCATGCTGCACCCGAGTAGCACAGTGTGGCGGTCGCTCATACTCGAGCACCGGTACCAAGTAGAGTCGATTACACGTACCGTACAGTTGTACTGGTATGTGGAGGTGGGCTTACTGTAATCGAGGGTGGGAGAAAACAAAGATGCCAACTGAACGAGCACTCAGTACTGTACGGGTATAGTACGAGTAGTCTACGCGTAAGGAGGGCGTGGACACAACGAGAAGAGGGAGAGTCCCGGAGGGTTTTTTTCTTTTTTTCTTTCTTCTTTACAATAGCGGTGGTTGCCGGGAGAATATAACATGCGGAGTTACAAGTAAGATGAAGGAAATGCTGGGTGGGAAGAGCGGTTTTACCCATTTGGGTTATATTGGCATATATGATGCTTGGGAGAATATGTCTTACACACATATGCGCCATTTACTCGTATAGTACAAAGCACTCGAGTACCTCCGTACTGTAGAAGCTTGGAGATGGGTGCAATGGCGGGGATTCATTGTGGCCGTGGTAGCCGCGGTGTGAATTGACTGTATAGTACAAGCAGTGCATACCCCTTCCTTCACGCAAACTCTAGAAAGGTCGCAGCCAGACCATTGTTGGATCGATTGATCGCTTCATGGCGCATGGTGGTTCTCAAGTCATAAGGATGAGGGATGCTAGTACGAGCACTGTATGATACGAGTACTCGTGCTTGCACTTGTACCCGTACACTGTAGAAACGGGGCTTTCTCCGGGGCTGGGTTTTTTTGGGTGCTTTTTCATTTTTCTTTTCGTGGCGGGAGAAGAGGAGGAAGAGGAAACGGAGATGTTTTTCCTCCACTCAGGTGTGACCTGTCGTCTGGAGCCGCCTGTGAGGCTGAGTTCTCTAACATTCTGGTTGCCAAGAGGTAACCCAATCCCGGCAGCTAAACTGCAACCAGTAATCTGTTTACCGTTACCACCCTGCGAGTTGTGGCCAACCACTGTAAAAGTGGCACTGGGTACGTATGTGTGGTTCATGCAATCGTGAGCCTCTTTTTCCTTCATCACAGCTCGAGAAAACATCCACACGGCAAAGGCGTGAAGGCAAGCAAGCCCTCGATAAACTGCTTGGAATTGAATTTGCGGCCAGCGCATCCCCTCAAGCTGTCCTCTGTACTCTGCTGACAGCTAGGTTATGCTTCGTCCACCCGCTTCACTTGCCCATCCACCACATTCCGCCAACGTTTTACCACTGCTACGTTTGCTACCGCTTCAAACGACCTTTTTCCTAGGCTGGCTATCGCTTGATCGTCGTTGACGAGACCACGACCTCTCTTTTTTGTTCCTCTCACTAGGTATTCCATTAAGGACCGGCCCTGCTAGTTTACTATTCTGATTCCTCCACTCCTCCCTCTCCCCCTCTAACACTTTCACTCTTTCTTCCCTTTACGATAGGTTATGTGAAACGACACTGGTCTCTACAACAGCTCTTATTCCACGCACACGCAAACGCATACACACCTCTCCCCTGAATCAAAAATTATCGAATAACTCACGAATTCACGAATCCACAGCCTGGCCGTTCTGGGTAGGAAGGGGCTATTTGTTGCGGTTGTCCCTGGTTTGGCCTATTTGCTTTTTTTCCCAGTTCCTATTTTTCCTTTTCCATCCCCCCTCCCCACGTTTTGTGGTGCATACAAGTGATCTCACCGAAAAGGGAAAGCGTAGGGCTTCAGCTGCTGAGCAACATCAGAGAACGAAGGGCTGGGTTAGAGTTTGGGCCACACTTGCCTGTGTGTCATCCGGGTCAGGTAAGGTGGGTTAGCTCTGGTTTCTTGTGTCGCCCTGTGAGTATAGAAGCATAAGGTACCGGTACTGGTCCTGTACCGTACTCGAGTAGAAGCGCACTAGAGAGACCTGCTCTGCGGGAAAGAAAGGGCCCAGTTTTCTATAAGTAGGGCTCCCAACCTCGAGTACTGTGGGGTCTCTTTTTTTTTTTGCTGCTAGCCCCCACCCTCCACCCACGACTTCGCTGGATATACCACCTTGCTTCCCTGCATTACTCGTACAAGCGCTTTGTTGTACGGAATACCTACCGCTGCTGCTAACTCAGACTGGTTTCTGGCTCCAATATCTAGCAGCGCCTTTTAGAGGATAGATAAATACCTCCGGCTCAACCCCCCTTCATTCCGGCCGCATTACCCTCTCCCGCGTACATAGACACTCCTACGACTTGGACGTTTGCATACCGTTACGAAGAATCATTGTTATTACGAACACGATGCGTGCCATAGTATTTCGGTTCGTAGCAGCTAGTCTGTTTGCCGCTCTTACGAATGCTCAGACATTTACGGATTGTAACCCTATGTTGAAGAGTATGTGAAACCCGTTGGATGTAATTGTTGGGGACTCCGGACTAACGAGAATTGGGTAATAGCCTGCCCTCCCGATCCTGCGCTCTCCGGAATATATCAGCATACCTATGGCGGAGAAGCGCCCAACTTCAAGTACTTGTCGAGCAAGGATTCCGTCAAGTATGGTGGAAAGGATGGAGCGGTCTTTAGAATTGCAAAGCCAAAGGATGCGCCGACAATTATTAGCAGCTTTTATATAATGTGGGGTAGATATGAAGTTGTCCTGAAGGCGGCCCCGGGTGCCGGTATCGTCTCTTCGATAGTCCTCCAGTCAGATGACCTTGACGAAATCGATTGGGTATGTTGATTCACCAGCTATCACTTGTTGGTATATATGGTGTATACATGGGTTTCTAACAACTACTATAGGAGTGGCTCGGCGGCAAACCTGGAGAAGCACAGTCAAATTACTTTGGAAAGGGGAATACCGCCACCTACGACCGTGGTGCGGTCCACCCCATCGATAGTCAGGCTAGGTTCCATAAATACGGGATTGACTGGACTGCCGAGAAGATTGACTGGTTGATCGATGACGTTGTCGTCCGTACCCTTAAGCCCAGCCAGGTCAAGGGTGACTTTTACCCCCAGACTCCCATGACTGCTAGAATCGGATCATGGGCAGGTGGAGATCCCGACAATGAGCAAGGCGTTATTGGTTAGTCGTTTGGAATGCAGTTTCGGTGGATTTGGACTAACGGCGATATAGACTGGTCCGGAGGACCAACCGATTTTACCAAGGGACCCTTTGACATGTTCGTCCAGAGCATCTACGTTCGGGACTACTCCACGGGAAAGGAATACATCTACACTGATAAGTCTGGATCCGCCGCCTCTATCAAGTCCAACGGTGGCAGCATAATGGGAGGGGGGGCCAACCCGGGAACCCCCAACCTGTCATCATCCTCGTCCGCGGCCCTATCATCTGGCTCCTCCGGCTCTTTCAACGCCCCATCCAACAGCGGCCGCCTCTCCTCAACAGCTAGCAAAAGTGAGCCTACCCCGACCAACGGATCATCCGGCCCCAAACCGACTAACACAAACGCGGAGGCCACCCAAAAATCACCCTCGCCATCCTTGCAGCCACCCTCGCCGCCATCTGGTTCTACTGAAACCCTTTCCACAGTTACGCGTGGGGCAGATCTCACTGCCACTGGAAACTCTACTGGACCCGCGGCACCAACAACCACTGGACCCAATCTATCTGCGAACACTGGTGTGCCTGTTGCTAATGGGTCTGCTAAAACCCCCATTGTTGCGGGGATAGCAGTGGCATTTGCAGGGGTGGTTTCTGGGTGGCTTTTGTAGATTTTTTCATCTAGGGTTTCTATTATTAATTAACTAGGGATAGAATTTGGTTTTAACTTTTTCCTCCCCTTTTCATGTTTTATTTTATCGGGATGGCATGGGTGTTTTTTCTTTTTCTTTTTCTTTTTCTTTACTCTCCTTTGTCCGTTGGCATCCTATTTCCTATCACGAATGAAGGTTATGCATAGCGAATGATTTTTATTTTTGCATGAGGTTTGTTTTCAATTTCCTCCTCTTGCTCTCTTTTTATTACATATCCTCTCGATTGTAGTGGTTGTAGCGCACGATTATCTATGTGGGCTGTGGCATAAATAGTGAATGTATTCTATATGATTTAAGATGAAGATAAAGATGGGGGTTAATGTCGGGGGTTTTGGAAATCTTGGGGGACTTAGTTGCGATGTCTGGGGTTTAATACGAAGGTGGCGAAGTTGAAGTCGCTCTCACATTTTTTGCTCCCGTTAGTAGTTTTCGTATGGTAGTTTAGCATCGCTGGTATGTCTGTGCCCAGCGATTGCACAGTACAGTACTCTATCACTATTGATCACCACTGAGCACCGCGGCTTCGGCAAAGTTCTCATACTTCGATTGATGCTAGATGGGCTTAACTAGAGACGATGCATTACCATGTCATTGGGAGTGCGCAGATGAAATCGCTCAGGGCATGTACTGCTTCGTATTGTTGCATACTTTGCTGGAATGCCGCCTGCTTGTACTTGTTTAACGTGCGGCCTACAGTAATTCTACCAGGGCGGATATTGTCAATTCGTTGTGCGAAGGGTGCACGGCGTGAATGATATGGTACTAGTCTGATCATGAAAATAATCGGGGGTTTTTTTCTTCTTTTTTTTTTTTTGCGGTACTAACGACACGTCTGCTGAGCCAGATATCTTTCCATTTGTCCGTACCTACGTACAAATCGGGGGGGGGACCTGGGGGATTTTTCCGGAAAGCTTGTATCATAGTTCCGAGGTTGCGTGTAGCAGCACGAGATATCACTCGTCTACCCTGACTTTGACAGTAAACTCGGGCACCTGCCACTCTACCGCTGGGTTGTTGACGGGCGGGCGTGAGGTGGATTTCCTGATCCGGGTTTTGTCGATTTGGGCTTTATCTTCTTCTTTTCCTTTCCGGTTGGGCGTTATTGGGTGGGGGGTTGATGATCTGCCTTTCCGCGTGTGGTGGTGGGGAACCAGTGGGTTGTGTGGGTAACCGCATCTGATGGATGATATTATGT